CGTCGTCCATCACACAGTAGCCATATTTTGCCAGCATCTTCTCGTAGAGCTTCCGTGCCCGAGTTTTAGCCGTCGATTGTTGCCGCTCATCGCGGTTTGGGAAGTTCTGTACCTTGTATGTATGTAGTCCAGCTCTCTTCTTTGCATTCTGGACGTAGCTCTGCGACATGCCGATCTTTTTAGCCAAATCACGGCTTGAGACGTTGGGATTTGCTTTAATCATCCGCTTCACCTTTCCCTCCGTCTTTTTGTTCTCCGGTCCCGGTTTTCTTCCAGCTCCTTTGCCGTGGTCCAACGTCAACCGCTCCTGGAACCGCTTCAACACTCTGGAGACGGTTGAATGGTGAATGTTCAACATTTTTCCCAACTGCCGGTGCGACAGGTCAGGAAATTCCAGGTGTTTGGAAAGAATTTGTTCTCTCAACTCGCGTTGGTTCACCTCCATTTTCGTTGAATCGAAAAACACGACTTCGAGTTTGACAGCATGTACACAATACACATCAATGAGAAAGTGTGCAAAATTTGGTTGATTTTTACCCAATGGTAAAAAAGTTATGCCCTGTTGAATGTGTCGCAATAATTTCGTGTTCGCCCTTTATGTAAGTATTAAGTAGCTAATTATGCATGTCAACACCAGGGTGGCTTCACTCACATGCTATAAAAGGGGGATTTTTGGTGTTTTGAAATCATTCGATGTAATAATGAAGATTTGAACTTGTTAGATACAAGAAGAGATTGAAGGGCAGGTGTTTGACGCATGAAACCTTTCAATTTCGCTTTCAGAGTGTAACAATTAGCTATTTTATGATTCGTGAGCGTTCACTCAGTTGAAACGATTTGGATGGGGAGAGTAATGATGTCAACTTCCTGTTGCTAACTTTTCGTGGATAAAGGGCGGGCTCTTCTCCCCATTCAATGGGGCATCTTCGTGTTGGATGGCTCGTTTTCTGACCAATTGACTGATCAAGTTGTTGGAAGGAGATTCTTAACTGTCCCAAGGAAATGAATAGGTGAATTGCCTATCAATCTATCCATTCGTTTTGGCCCTTCATACAGCGATTTGCTGATAACAATAGTTACCGTTTGGGTACTTTGCCTTATGGAAAAAGCTCGATAGCAATGCTTTAAAGAGCGAGATAGCAATCTACTAGTATACTGCTGTTTGGTGCGCTCAATCCTGAGAACCATGAAAGTTTGTAATCAGTAATGATGGAAATAATGTTTGTTTAGAATTAATGGTACTATTATTCATATTGTTGCCTATTGAATGATGAATGAATGGAATAAAGTACTAATGGCTTATTCATATACATAAAACAGATAGGAATTAGGCAACTGAATAACATGAACTTCAGTATGAACGGTCGATTAAATACAGAAACACACCAACTGTTATACACCAGAAAACAACACCCACCACCCGGATCATGGAGGAGAACGGAATTTTGGAATGGGACTAATGAATGGATCAAGAAGGAAAGGGACATTTTGGGAAAAGGGAAATATATGGTCTGCTACCGGTCCGAAGAATAGCACTAGTTCTTTTCCAAGCCAACCTTTGAGCTAGCAAGTTCACCAAGTTGAAGAACAAAGTTTATAAGTTCACAAAGTTTGATAAATAGTGAACGAATACGGGAAAAACAAAGCTGTTTAATCCTTTGAAACCGTATACTCAGGTAGCCGTGTGTAAATCAGCCCAAAATCGCACCGGGACAGGTAGTGCTCGATCGACCGGCTACACGTGCCAACGAGTCGAAGTTCAGCATTGGTAGGGAACCAGGTACCGCGAGGAGTTCGCAGCGACAGGACCCCGTGCCATCCTGCACCACTGCCGTGGCATTCATCGCACGGTCACCTACTCTTCCCCTTAACTAGTGAAAGAGTTGGTGACCGTGTTTGAACTTGCTGATCATTGTCCCCTATTTGTCCGGAGCCGACCTTAAGAGCTCCGTTTCAAGCTTAAGCTAGTCGCCGCAAAAGAGGCTGGTGGATAGCCCACCCCGTATGGTCCCCGTGGCTTTAGACCAGGAACCTGGGGCATTGTAGTAATAGAGTCAGAGAGCACTCAGAGATTAACACAGTCAAAGGTTATTAAGCTTGATCAAGTTCAACAGTGAGCAGAGCCCACAGCTATCGAAACTAGTTTCCGTGCTACAATGAGTGGTGGACCACTATCATCATGATATATTAAAAATTTGGAATGTAATATTTCTGAGTGAATAACAGCATGCGGTATTTACTTAGAATTCAAGTTAAACTAATATTAAGTCCAACCAATTACCCGGAATATACTATTATTTTCACCATAAGCAACAACAATCTCTTTAAAGTGCTCATTTAACCCCTATGCCTATATTTGAAGACGTTTGTACTTCTAGACAAGATTCATCTGCACTATTCTTGAATACATCTGAACTTATCCTTGTAGGCCTTTAGACATACTTTGCACGTCTTTGTACCTCTGGACTAAACTTTAAAGTTGTCTTGACATGATCTATACATAAGTCTAAACAATTTATGTGTAGTTACAGACAAACATTTCAAATTGTCCTAGGGGAAACAGCCCTATTGTTGCGGTACCACAGAACAGAAGGGGAAGTGCAAACAAATCGGGGAATCAAAAAGTGGTTCGTTTTTCTGCTCAACAAGCGATGTGTTGTGGTAGCGTTCCACACGGGCTTTCTATGTGCACTTACACTATCATAGCATGCTGCCTATCTTAACTGCAGGCAGAAGATGCCTTCTACCGCTCTAGGTGCGCTAGTGTTTGCAAATGACAAGTGGAGCCACTTTCTGATCCGAAGCTCCACTCCTGTGGCGGTACGTTAGCATACATATAAACCTCCAGACACAACAATAGGCTTCTAACGCTGCTAACGTACCGCAACAATAGGGCTGTTTAACCTACCTGCTTTAATCGTTGATTCGTTAATGGCTCAGCCGCAAAAACATTCACTGTTGCGTTTAACATTATGGACGCTAGATGAGAACCTCTTTCATCAAACTATGTGGCAAAAATAGCGCAAAATCCGTTTGTATAACCGTAGTTATCAAAAGAGAAAATCGATGAAGAGAATCAATCAAAGCAGATACGACATTTTTAAGGAATTCATCTAGATTTGTTATATTCGTATTCGCTTTTGGCATGCATGGGACAATTTGATTGTGTTGATTGCTGTTCGTGTCCAAAGTAAGACAATCCAATCAGCTATCCATATCATTCATTTTAATAGTGTTTTTTTTTTTCGTGAGTTCGGTTGAAATTGTGGATTTGGAACAGCTCGAAGTTTTTTTTTTACGTAGGATTACGTCTTTCGGCAACATATTGGGGGTGCAATTTCAAAAAACCAAAATCGACTAAGTTTCGAAAAGTGGTCAGGTTTTGACCACTTATATAACTCTGTCAATATCAGATGGATTACAATTCTAAACCAACCAACCGATTTGAATTTTTTATACGAATCTGCTAAAATGAACACTTTATCAATTTTCAACAGGTTGCAATATAAAATTACACAAATGCCCATTTGTTGCAATGCTGATCAAAACTATCATCGATTGCCTGCAAAAAGCACTTTCCCTAACAAAGATTTCAAAATCGAATTCCAGTCGGACTCGCCGAACGGTGCTTATTCAATCAGCTGCAGCAAACACGGTAAGAAAAAAGTGCCCAAAAGTAAGTTCTTTTTACTGCAGGAACTCAAAAGTAGGTAAAGCTGGTCAAAATACACAAGTTAAGTTTCTAGACGTTCGAAGAGCTTTTTGAAAAAGGTAGGGTTTTTGATCTAATTTTAGTCCTACTAAGAACAACCCGCGCTTTACCTCTCTTCTTTGAACGAGTTTAAACAAAAAATGGAATATTTATGTCAAAGATGACTTCTAAATTTATTCACCTTTCCATACGTACCGTTGGATTTGATAAGGATTCACAAATTGTTGAGATATTGTTTAAAATCTAATACTGCTGCTTGATTCTAAATTCGTTCTACGAGTTTCAATTCCGTCCAAACGTATTGAAACGCCATTAGATTTTCTTCGTCCTACGGATAAGATTTTCTTCGTCCTACGGATAATTTTCTTCGTCCTACGGAAAATTATTTATATTATTGATCTTTTCTGATAGATAAAACGAAAATGGGCGATTACGACGAAGTAGTGCTTTACCCTATTACCAAAAATGAAGATTTAAAGGTGTTCTTGCTAAATTGTCGTTCTGGACAATTGCTCCACAATGCACACCGGGCCAGAAATGCAATCTAGCGGAGCAACATTAATAACTCTGAAACAAAGCATTTCTACGACTTGGTGTCTTGGGTAAAGTTTCTCATCATAATAAGGACCATCTATTGACATAAACAAACAGTTCAAAACTCTTCCGGAAAGATGGCGCCACAATCTAACTTCTTTCTCTGACGTTTTGGAGACTTGATGTCTGGGGCAAAGTTGTTTGCCTTGACAAAATAAACAACTCTTTTGAAGACTTTAAATTTCCACAGCCTACTGGTTCCAAGTTATATGAAGTTAAAGAAAAAAAAATGTCGAAAATATTTTTTTTTTCTTTCTGTTTCGGTTTTTTTTTGCAGACAACCATAGTTTTAGTCTGTTTATAGTTTTATCTTATGTAAATACATTGAGTAAATCAATTTTGAGAAGAAACATACTGGTTTAAGCTTCAAATTTTAAAAATATAATGAACCAAAAAACAATAATTTTTTATCTTTAATATCTCTTAAAGTGCAAAAAATCCCAACCTGACATTTTCAGCAAAAATTAAGCAATACTCGTTAAACTAAATATCAAAATTTAAGAGAGATATATATTGGTGTTTTTGAGATTTCATCATTTTAGTGGAGTATGTATTTTTTCTACAACTTTCTGCATTACATAACTTATGCATTAATTGAAATAGCGTGTTGAAGACTTGACAACTTCGGCTATATGTCAGGACAAACGAGTTAGTATTCGATTTGACGTTTAACGCGATTTGACTTTAACAAAGCATGGACAATAGTGTTGTGGTCGAAGAGAACGAAGTTGAATGGAGCTTTGCAACCGCTCCATTCAACTATGAGGTATTGTTCGATTCAGCGAGCAATTAACACACACTGCCACTGCTTTTATAGAATAACAAAGTGTTAAGTGTTCGGTGATCGTAGTAACCCTCTTTTTTCCTCCTGTCAGCAGAGTAGCGAAGAAGAGCAAGTGCACAGTCCAAACATGCCGACTACGCGCGCACAGTGGAAGGTACGGGGCCCGTCCCCAGTACCGAAACCGAGGAAGGATCGTTCTCGGAAAGAACGGGACCCGTCCCCGGCTCCGAAACGCGTGAGGACCAGTACCCCGACATCACAGCAAAGTTTAAACATGCCGACGACAAGAGCGAAGTGGAAGAAACGGGGCCCGTCGCCAGTGCCGAAACGTAAGAAGGCACGTTCTCCGAAGGAACGGGAACCGTCCCCAGCTCCGAAACGTAAGAAGAACAGTTACCCGTCACCACAGCCAGGTCCGTCGCGTCGCGAACCCCAACGAGAACCGTCCTTCCAGCCAGGTCCGTCGCGTGCTCGCCCGGGACAGGTATCCAGTCGCCGTCGCCAACTCCGTCACGGCTTGCATTGCAGCAAGACATGGGTGCGCTGACGGCGCAAGTGGAAGCGCTCAACAATCAGTTGAACGCTGTTGTTGTAGAGGTAAACAGGCTGACGGAGCTGCTGGACGCGCGCCCGCCACCGCAACAGTCAGCTGAACCTGAAAATACTGTAAGTATCTAAACCTAATCCTAATCCTAATCCTAATCCTAACCCTAACCTAACTAACCATATAGAAATCAAAGACGTAGTCCTACGTCAAAATCGGGATTTTTTTTTTAATTTTTTCTAGCGTTTTGGAGAAAACCTTATGTTAATTCGAAGTGTTTCTGGTTAATTAACAAGGACATGTGGTATTCGGTAATTGCGAGAATTTGTATGCACCACTTTAATAATGTTACGCATTTGACCACAAACGTTTGGTTGCGGGGTACATCATTATCAGAGAGCTTTGGGGGTGATGTGGCTAGCAGCAAGGCTTGGGGAGCTGTATTTTGTTTGGAACGAGTTTTACACGCTCGGCATAGATGACCCACAGTGGCTCAGGACGAGCAACTGAATCCGATCAGTAGGTGTACGTCGTGTTCCTCGACGCTCATGGGGGCTGCAGCTCTCTGCTTGCGGGCAGCTTTTCGTTGTAAACTGGAGAAAAATGCACAACGCCACGCGCCGAAAGCAGTGCTGCAGCTGATGATAACGACCGATCGATCAACTTTGAAATCTGTGTTAGGGAAAGTCCTTTTGACGTAGGACTACGTCTTTGATTTCTATATGGGGGTACACTTTGTGAAAACCGAAAATGGAACATGTAACAAATTAAGAAAGATTTTGAACGTTAATAACTCAGCTGCCCCTGGTCCAATTTCAATAATTTTATCACCAATCGATCAGAAATATGGCTACGCATCGAAACAATGCTAGCGAATGTTGATTTTCAACAAGAAACTATTGAAAAACTGGTAAATGTCCAGCATTGTCCAAAAGCGTCGAATTAACTAACAAATCTACCAATTACCTATATGCATATGCTGTTTCCCCAGCACAGTCGTCAGAGAGTAGTAAGTAGACGAAACAAGTCGAAATGGCATTCGCCTCCGATCCTCGGGCGCGTGCGAATAGGGAGGATGGAATTGTGTAAAGTATATTTTGCACACTCATCGCCATATTCAGAACCACACGCTCCCAACGACCACACCACTGTGTGATGGTGTTCGGTCGACGAAATTAGTAGCAGCAGTAGCGGTGCTTTCGGCGTGTGGCGTTGAAAATTGTTCTCCAGTAACAACGTTTAATTAATCACCCTTGTAGTGACGTCGAAAAGATGGTTTCAATCGGCGCTTACACATGAAATTTAAGGTGGATTATAGATTTTTTTTTTAAATGTTGGGAAAATTTCTAGATATAGCTGGAATTAGGGCAGAACAGCTTTTGTAAACAATGACTTCTCTCGAAGATTTCTAGGAATTCAAGGCACGCCCACGCAATCCAATATCAGGGCTAGATAGATCTCCACAGGATCTATATAGGGTAAATTATGGCTTCGGCACCCATTGACTGTTTTCGGCAACCGAAATTGAAACGTTTATTTCACTGTATTTTCCCATCAAAACTCTTCGCTGAATGTGTTAAGCCGATTCCTTACCGACTGTGAATTCCTGTTATACCACATTTTTCTTTAAATGAAATATACATGCTACAAAATACGACTGATTTCGAGTTGCCGATAATAGAACAGCTGGTTAACACGCAGTTCAAGGGTGCCGAAGAAAAAGAGACTGCCGACAATAGTCACTCTCACCTGAGAAGTTTGGAGCGTTGTAAAAACATCCCTTTGATTTGTTTTTTCCGTCGATCTTGTTTTCCGTGCTGAGCACCAATGCTACCGACGTGCCAGGAAGGCAGCTCCCACACCTGGACCCTACCTATCGATCCATCAACTCATGAACCGGGGACCAACGGCTTTACTTCCCATCCGAAGGAAGGCGTGATCAGAGATGTTATGCCTCAGAACATCCCGGCGGCGCCGACTGGGATTGAACCCAGGCCTGCTGGGGTGAGAGGTAATCACGCTTACCACTACACCACCGGTGCCGTTCGTTGTAAAAACATGTTCAACCCGTTTTGATCAATTCTGTCGATTGGAATTGGTAGAACAGCAAGCAGCAGATAAATGTCAACAAACAAACCTGTCATGAGAAATCGCTAATCGAAGTTCGGACGCTGTTTAGATTGACAAGAATACGTAAATTCCCCTAATCCACGCAATTTCAAAAATCCAAAATGCACAGCATTACGAAAAGAGGTCAGATTTTAATTCTAAACAAGCTAAACTGCTGCTAAATTAACACTCGTAGAAGAAGAAGAAGAAGAAGAAGAAGAAGAAGAAGAAGAAGAAGAAGAAGAAGAAGAAGAAGAAGAAGAAGAAGAAGAAGAAGAAGAAGAAGAAGAAGAAGAAGAAGAAGAAGAAGAAGAAGAAGAAGAAGAAGAAGAAGAAGAAGAAGAAGAAGAAGAAGAAGAAGAAGAAGAAGAAGAAGAAGAAGAAGAAGAAGAAGAAGAAGAAGAAGAAGAAGAAGAAGAAGAAGAAGAAGAAGAAGAAGAAGAAGAAGAAGAAGAAGAAGAAGAAGAAGAAGAAGAAGAAGAAGAAGAAGAAGAAGAAGAAGAAGAAGAAGAAGAAGAAGAAGAAGAAGAAGAAGAAGAACGCCGTGAAGTATGCAATTCTTCTGCGTTGAAGGCGGCGATCCAGGCGTTCCCGGACATATTCAGGATAGTGCTGCAGAAGTGTCTGGATGAAGGTCACTTCCCGGACCGATGAAAGATACAGAAGCTAGTGCTACTGCCGAAACCCGGAAAACCGCTGGGGGATCCAGCATCGTATAGGAATTCGGATTCCGGATTCCGGAGATCAACGGTTGATGCAATTCGGACAGTGGTCGAGAGTGCCGAGAAAGCGTCTGAACAGAAGCGGAGAGGAGATTGATATTGCGCCGTGATAACGATCGACGTGAAGAACGCAGCGCCAGCTGGGAGGCCATCGTCGAAGCACTGCATGGAATCAGGGTTCCTGATTACCTGTGTACCATTATAAGGAGTTACTTCCAGAACCGGGTTCTAGTCTACGAGACGGACATCCGGATCACGGCGGGTGTGCCACAAGGCTCCATCCTTGGCCCAACGCTCTGAAATGCGATGTACAACCAATAATCAATACGAAACTAACGATTTTAAATTGACTCAGTACTTGACTAGCCTATTGGTCCCAAGCAAACGATTAACGTACCCCATTCTAGTCGAAATTCTACTACTACACAATGTTTGTTTTGATTCGCTATGAAAGTTTGACAGATAAAATGAGGGGTTAGTGGATTTTCGAGGGGTGAATCGATTAGCTTGGGACCGAAGAGAGTACCAGAGCAGAGCCAAAAAGTTGAGCACGTTATTTCGGGACCTTCTAGTCTTAGAGTTACCTCTATGGTACAACGGAGTGCTAACGCTGAAGCTGCCCAAAGGAGTCGATATCGTAGGATTTGCGGACGACGTCGTGTTGGCGGTAGTAGGCGAGACGTTGGAAGAGGTGGAAATGCTGGCAACCGAGGCGATCGACACGGTTTCCAACTGGATGCAAGGAGCGAAGCTGCAGATAGCCCACCACAAAACGGAAGTGCTATTGGTCAATAACTGTAAAGCTGTTCAGCGAGCAGAAATTATTGTCGGGGAGAACGCCATAGCATCAAAGCGCGTGCTGAAGTATCTTGGAGTGATACTCGATGACAAGCTAAGCTTCAATAACGACGAAGTCAACTTCCACTTGACGCAGTTCCTGTCTGGTCATGATTGCTTCAGGAAGTACCTGCATCGCTTTGGACACACAACGTCGTCCCTCTGTCCGGAGTGTGGAAACGTGGACGAAACGCCGGAGCACGTGGTTTTCGACTGCCCAAGATTTGAGGCAGTGCGAGTGGAGATGCCGGCCCTTAGCGCGAGTAATGTCGTCAGTGAAATGTGCCGGGATGAGAGGACGTAGAGCGTCGTCAGCAGGGCAGTGACGCAAATTTTGTCGGAGCTGCAGCGAAAATGGAGAGATGATCAGCGAGTTAGCAACGCCGGCTAGTTGAGCTAAAGAGAAGTGCTCGAGCACAGCCCCCCTCCCCCCCCCCCCCCCCCGATGAAATACTCTAGGGGAGTTCCGGGGGGATAGTGGCTAGAGGCGAGTAAGGTTTTAGTGGTTAAGAGTCACTGTGCCAGAAGGAGAACAAACACGCAACACAGTGACAAGCCGGGCTTTTGAAGCTTTCCTTACTATAAAAAAAAAAAAACACACACACACACACACACACACACACACACACACACACACACACACACACACACACACACACACACACACACACACACACAAAACAGTCCCCCTCAACCAAAACTCATTGAATCATATAGGCTGACAAAATCGGGTTAAAAAACTGACAAAATCGGGGGTAGATAAAACTGGAGATAGACAAAATCGGGGGCAGACAAAATCGGGTCACCACTGTATCATTAATGGTTGTAAATTTTGATTTAAAAGTTAATTTAGCACAATTGCTCCATTTACGCCGTGAAGTATGCAATAGTTGATTTATGATGCATTCTGGATGGTATGGTACTGGATGGCTTCCTGTACATACTACAAATTAGTACATGCTGGATGGTATGGTACTGGATAACTTCAGTGACATATAGCATCTTTCCATATCCTTGCTCGCATCTACTTCCATCTTCAGCAGCGTTGAAAAAGTAGATGCAGCGTATGCTAGGTAAATGAATGTAATGAATGTACACTGTTCTAAAAGAGGGGTTCGATTCTTTGCAGCATCCAATTGTCAATTTAGATGTGTCGCACCCCTCGCGAAAATGTGTTATTTTTTCATCAGAAAACCAGGCGTTTTCGTGATGGGAAAAAGTGGTTTCCCAAACACAGTCGCCGAATATTGATACCGAGCACGTAATCCTACGTCTAATCTGTGGTTGTATCTTGGATTGAATCTCTTACTTTTGACGTAGGACTATTTCTATATGGGGGTACACTTTGTGAAAACTGAAAATGGAACATGTAACAAATTAAGAAAGATTTTGAACGTTAATAACTCAGCTGCCCCTGGTCCAATTTCAATAATTTTATCACCAATTGATCAGAAATATGGCTACGCATCGATAACAATGCTTTCGAATGTTGATTTTCAACAAGAAACTATTGAAAAACTGGTAAATGTCCAGC